GGTCCCGCGTGGGTGCGCGGTGCCCGTCCCGCAGGGATGCGCTGGCTTTCCCCTTCCGCCGGTGCCCGGCGCCGCTCCCCCTTATCCTCCGGTGTCTGGAACCTCGGGATGCTGCAGCCACCCGGCGTTGCTTTGCCCCAAACCCGCCTCTCCCCGGGTGTTTTCCGAGCCTGCATCGCCTGTGTGCAGGGAGAACGTGACTGTTTTGTTAAAAGCATCTTTGTGATGCCCTTGACAGCTCCTGCCTGCTCGGTAAATATTTTTAACTCTAAAAGATGCCTATTAGTCCCATTAGGCAGAACGGTTGCTCAGCTGCCTCATTAGCTAACGCCCGGGAGACCGCAGGGAGGTCCAGCCACCACTCACAGCGGTTAATTAGCTGCGAGGACATGATTATGAACCCGTTAGGAGATGCACAGCAGCGGTTTGTCCGTCTGGGAGATGGGAGAGAGCTCTGGCTTGGGACTCGCTCTTCACTCCCCGTTGCTTGGCCATGCTGCTGATGCTCCTGGGGTTTGGGTTTTCTTGGCAGCATGGGCTTCCTACATGACCAACTCCCCGACGCTGATCGTGATGATTGGCCTGCCCGCACGCGGCAAGACCTACGTGTCCAAGAAGCTCACCCGCTACCTCAACTGGATTGGGGTGCCCACCAAAGGTGTGTGCGGGGGCTGCCGGCTCGCCCCGGTGCGGGGCTGGCTCTGCCCTTGGCCGAAAGCGCTGTGAGGTCTGTCTGCAAAGTGCCGTCAGTCTCACGCGCTTGTCTTTTGTGTGTGAAGTGTTTAATTTAGGGGTGTACCGTCGGGAAGCGGTGAAGTCCTACAAGTCCTATGACTTCTTCAGGCACGATAACAAAGAAGCCATGGAAATCCGAAAGTAAGTCTGCGTCGGGAGCCCAGCTGATCCGTGGCAATCTGGTTAGTCTCGGCTCTTGGCAACCTCTGCATTTGAGGAGCAGAAAATAGCATTTAATGCCTGTGAGGCCAGGGGAGGAGGTAGTGCAGGGATCCTGCCAGAGGGGCTGTGCCTGGGGGTGTCATGGTTGTCTTCGGGCTGGCACAAAGAGCAGTGGCTGTGAATGCCCGGTGGTGAATGAAGTAGGCTATAGATATGGATGCCTTGTGATCTCTGCAGACCCTCCACAGCTTCTAGAAAGATGCAGGGGCAGGTGCTCCATGGGCAGAGAGAAGGCATTTCAGTCTCTCCCCAGTGGTTCCAAAGCCTTGATGTCTTTACACTTCACATCAGCTCTGACGATACCCGTTTCTCTCCCGCAGACGATGCGCCTTAGTGGCTCTTGAAGATGTGAAGGCGTATCTCTTGGAGGAGTGCGGGCAAATAGCTGTAAGGCTTTTCTGGACTAAGTGTGGTTTTGTATCTGTGTAGTTGAAAGCTGCCCTGGGTATCTGGGGACCTGACTGGAACCCCAGATGATTTGGGGCTGGTTTCAAAGCCTTAGATAAACTTGCTCATTGCTCCTTACTCCTTTTCTGGTAGGTGTTCGATGCAACCAACACAACCCGAGAAAGACGGGACCTGATCTTAAATTTTGCTAAAGAAAATGCTTTCAAGGTAGTGCTCCTGAATTTAATTTGTAGTTGGAGTTGTTGCACCGAGGGGCATTACTGCTCCCTTGGGCAGGAGCTCTCTAGTTTTGGTTCAGGGTAGAGATCTTGACCCCCTGAAACGTGCTTCCTTGCCTTCTTTGTAGGTGTTCTTCGTGGAGTCCGTCTGTGACGATCCAGAAGTCATTGCTGCCAATATCCTGGTGCGTGCCATGTTTTCCAGGCTCAGCTGCTAGTGCCTGCCGTGGGAGCTTGGGTGCTCAGTGCCAGTCACCAGCTACAGTAGCTTACAGCAGTGTCGGCAAATGCCTGTGCTCTTGTGTTTCACCTTGGAAATAAGCAGCTCAGGTTTGCAGGTTTACAGAAGCTAGAGATGCAGTCACTTGTGTGAGAACGTGGAAATCCAATGAAGCTGAGGTGTTTGACCTTGAAGCGTGTGTTCTTGTCAGGGGAAGGCAGGCAGTGAGTGACTCGCAGGCCGGGTAATACAAACAGCTGGGGCTGTCGCAGGGCCAAGCGCTGCAGCACCTTCAGAGACGCCCTTTGTTTCCTCTCCTGGAGCAGGTTTTTCCACAGAGCAGCATTAAACAATGCTCGTTTGTTTTGAAATGGAAGAATAATGTTATTCAGCGTTGCTTTTGCTCCGTGTCGAGTTTGCTTAACTCTCACAAAGCGCCGCTGTCTGTTGATCAGGAGGTGAAAGTTTCCAGCCCCGACTACCCGGAGAGAAACAGGGAGAACGTGATGGATGATTTCCTGAAGAGGATTGAGTGCTACAAGGTCACTTACCAGCCTCTTGATCCCGACGCGTACGACAAGTAAGCAAAGCCCTGGGGTGCATTTTGTCCTTGCACACATGAGCTGCTTTGCTTTGTCGCTGCTGTTCTCTGTCTCAGGATGCTGCAACGTGTCTGCTGCAGCCTCTGCTTCCCCAGAGCACAATTGCTCTGTGAAGGTGGTGCCCTCGGTGATTTGAAGGGACTTTTCTCTAGTGTACTGCAGTGTAATGCAGCTCCTTGTTTAAGCAAGGCAGTGCAGGGTCTCTTCTGTCTGCTGGAGTGACCCAGTGGTAGTGCTGATGCCTTTACTAGAGGATAAATAGTTAGATTACACCCGCAGATGCACATGCTTCATTTTTAAAACCAGTCGTGTGGGTGTTCTTATTTTATGTTGACTCCAGAGATCTTTCCTTCATTAAAGTGATCAATGTGGGACAGCGGTTCCTAGTAAACAGAGTCCAAGATTACATCCAGAGTAAAATCGTCTATTACCTAATGAACATTCATGTCCAGCCGCGTACCATCTACCTTTGCCGACATGGTGAGAGTGAATATAATCTTGTTGGCAAGATTGGTGGGGATTCTGGTCTGTCACCGCGCGGGAAGCAGGTATGTGTTTGGCAGCACCCGGGTTGCTGTAGTTGTAAAGTGTTGCGTGACCAGGGTCAGAGCCGGGCTCCGCATCCGACTCCTGCGAGGGGCAGCCCCGCAACAGCCACAGCCCTTGAAATGATGTTTTTAACGGCGGCGGCGGTTCCTGGTCCCTCCTGACCTCCCCTGATGTTTCTTTCCAGTTTGCTCAGGCGCTGAAGAAGTTCATCGAAGAGCAGGAAATTGTTGATCTGAAGGTGTGGACGAGCCAGCTGAAAAGGACGATCCAGACGGCCGAGTCCCTGGGGGTCACGTACGAACAGTGGAAGATTCTCAATGAGATCGATGCTGTGAGTGAAAAGCTGGTTGAGGCCTTCAGCTTTTCTAGATGGAAAAGAATGTGTAAAAAGAAATTCATCATGATGAACTTGACTATTTCCTGTTTATTTATAATCCTATCCGTGTAAAATGTACTTGGCCATCATCATGAGGTTTAGGATGGTTTGGTACAGGGCTGACGATGCCTGGAGCTGCCAGACCTTGCTGTGAACATATCCAGCTGGTGTGGAGAAAGAAAGTAACACTGAATATCCCAGGAATTTGCCACACCGTCCCGAGTGGGCAAAGGTTATTGCTCCCACTCTGATTCTTTCAGGCAGAAGCAATTGCAAGGTTGTTGCTGTGGAAGTGAACGCTCGTTTTCATTCCCGGCAAACAAGGGTTTGGAAATAAAACCAAAAGCCCGACCTCTTCAAACCACCCTGGATGTGTGGTGCACAAATGCTGAGCGTGTGGCTGTGTCGGATATGGTACCTAAAGTTTTCAGCATGTAAAGAAAGGGATTACTGGTCTCGGCCACCTGCTTTTGTTGTGTGGTTGTACCACTGTTGGAACCAAGTGTGGTGTAACGGGTTCTTCTTCCCTCAGGGGGTATGTGAAGAAATGACCTATGCAGAAATTGAAGCCAAGTACCCTGATGAGTTTGCCTTGAGGGATCAAGAGAAATACCTTTATCGCTATCCTGGAGGAGAGGTGAGGACCCTTAAGGAATGACAATAAGCTACAGTATACGTAAAACAAATACATAGGTGTAGAACTGAGTTACTTCACTTAATTTTGCCTTTTTCTGCCAATATTTGTATGAGAAACTGAAAACATTAGGATCCCCAGTTCTCAGAGGAAAGGTTTATTGATTTCCTTTGCTGTGGTGTGTAAGTGATGCCTTTCAGCCCTATTAATTGAGCCACTTACCATGTGCCTTGGTGCTCTGCTGGGACACAGGGGTTTCTGCATCCCACTCGTTTGGCCAAAGCCTGAATTGTCACTATGGAAAAAAAAACAAAACCCATCTTGGAAAGAAAATGTTTGTGGGTGTGGTGTGGAGTCCTTTCTGGTTTTACTTCACAACCTTGTTGAAATGTATAATTTACTATTTTGTTTTTCTTACTGCACTCGTTAAGAGTTACCAGTAATCTCAATCCTCCTGGAATCTGAGGGTTGCTGACATTAAATTTCACCTTCTGCTGTTTGCTTATTTTCCCCCCGTATTTTCCAGGTCATCCATAACTTCCGCATTTTGATACTTTAACTGATATTTTCCTGGACGTGAAGCTGTGTTAATTGCTACTTCTGCTTTAAGCCTCTGTTTACAAAACCCCTTGAAAAATTCCTGTTTTGTTTTTCAGTCCTACCAGGACTTGGTCCAGCGCCTGGAGCCGGTAATTATGGAGCTAGAACGGCAAGGCAACGTCCTTGTTATCTCCCACCAGGCAGTTATGAGGTGCCTGTTGGCTTATTTTCTTGACAAGAGTGCAGGTACAAAAATAGATGTATGATGTTAAGGGCTGGCTTCTCTCACTGCTTCCTGTACAGAGCTTTTGGGAGGGTGACTTGTAATGACTGTTTTGATTTTTCGCAACGGAAGCGCTGCTTAAAAAAAGAAATAAGGAAAACATTTCAAAAAATACCTTAACCACTGCGCTTCAGTGGTGCACAGAGCTTTGCAAGAAGCTCTTTCTGCGAGAAATGCAGATTGTGCACTGCCAGTTTTCTGCTCAGCTCTTGTTTCTGGAGCTGTTTCCACCAGTAGCATTTACATCATCTCAAGGAGATGATTTTTTTAATGCAAAGAAAGTCTTTTGATGCATCAGTGGCCTGTGAAGGGTTGGCAGCAGTGCTGTGTCTCTGGGAAATGCCGATCCCTTGCATGGCATGCTAGTTCCACTCTGCTGCCGGCTCCTTTCTGAAGCTCCAGTGAGTGGCACTGGAGTAAAACTTATTGATAAGTTAATAAACTTGTAATAAGGTTTAAAATAAAACTCCTCAGGCGCCTGTTGCTGCAGCGCTCTCCCACCCATATGCTGCTGGAGAGGTTTCCTCTGGCTGGCCCCGTGCCTTGGAAATGGTGGGGACAGTCCCATCCTGCTGCTGTGGGGTTGGGGAGGGTGGAGGAGGGGTCTGGGGTGGCTGCAGCCCCATCTGCGTGGGCACCAGGCACTTGTGTGGGCAGTGTCCGATGTTTGCGATGGGAAGGGTCCCACCCGAAGCCGGTGGGGAGGGGGGTGGCTGATGAGACAGCGTTGTGCCCCCCGTAACTCCTGCCTCTCTCCTAGATGAGCTGCCCTACCTGCGCTGCCCCCTCCACACCATCCTCAAGCTCACGCCTGTTGCCTACGGTAAATAGTGTCATTTGGGGTTTTTTCCCAGGATTTTGTGTATGAATCTGATGGGCAAGTTTGTGTCCATGGGCAGCAGCAGCCAGGCTCGCTGTAAGAGCGTCTGGTGGTGTGCTTTTAATGTATATTGAAATACAGTCCTGGGGAGTGGGACAGGCTGGAGGAGACAGTGGGAGAGGAGGTGTGTGGGTGCAGGGCTGTTCTCCCCTGGCCTCTCTTAAACGAGTGACGATGGTGGAGTTTACCTGTTGGTGAAGAAGCTCATTTATGCCTCTGAACTTGGATTTGGGGTGCAGTTGGTTAGAAAGAGGAGGCTCTGGGGAGACCTTATTGTAGCCTTCCAGTACCTGAAGGGGCTACAAGGAAGCTGGGGGGGACTTTTTCCAAGGGTCTGTAGTGACAGGACAAGGGGTAACGGGTTTAAATGGAAATAGGTAGATTGAGATGGGACATCAGGAAGGAATTCTTCCCGTGGAGGGTGGGGAGGCACTGGGACAGGTTGCCCAGAGAAGCTGTGGATGCCCCATCCCTGGAAGTGTCCAAGGCCAGGCTGGATGAGGCTTGGAGCAACCTGGTCTGGTGGACGGTGGCCCTGCCCATGGCAAGGGGTTGGAACTAGATGGTCTTTAAGGTCCATTCCAACCTAAACCATTCCATGATTCTATGAAATGGCCTTTCTGTATAGACCTGTAGTCAGCTGAAACGTAGGGCTGCACCTCTGCCATGCAGGTCAAAGCCAGAAATTAATTCAAGTATAAAATTCCTCAAAAATTAATGTGGTGAACTGTTTATTTACAAGCTGTCTTATTTTTTAAAAAAATAGCAAATTTATTCCTGTTCACTTTCCATGCTGTTTTCAGTATTTTTTTAATTGGTTATTTAATAAATTACCTTTCCTCATACAAACTTCTCTTTCTTGGTAAAGGTTGTAAAGTGGAGACGATTACCCTGAACGTGGAAGCAGTGAACACCCACCGTGACAAACCCTCTCTGAACTCTGTAAGTTTTGCTGCGCAGCTCTGGCTATTTCAAAAATAAGTAACTAAGCTGAAATGCTTCAAAATACCAGCTAGAAGTCGCTGATTGCTTTCAGTGACAAGAAAGTCTTGCTGCAGAAACAGTTCCCACGAGTAGAGTTAGCTGTAGGTTGAATTTATTAGTGTGCTTCCCAGGCCAGGGGCAGATACTTTTAAGAGCTGTTTTAAGAAGCAGAATGAACAAATCTAGGATGTTTTCAATTCCAGGTCTTGTTCCCAGTTTTTAGTTAAGTATTTGTTGTTGGTGCTAGTTTGTGTTAATTGTGATAATGTCAAAAAGACTTGCCCAGGTGTTTGAAGTGAATTTTTCTCATTGCCTTGGGGTTGGTTTCCTGTGCTGAAGCTGCAGAGGGGGTAAGGCTGGGCTCTGGGGCAGGCTTCTGGGGGCTCTCAGCAGCATTGCAGCCCTTGAGGGGGGCTGGCACCTGGGAGGAGTGAAGGTTTTTCCCTTGTCTCTGCAGATTTCGTGTGTGTTTTACAAGTATTTCGTGCCAGGCAAGACTGTGGTGCTCCTAAATTTTGTATATATCAGAGCAGGAGACAGGTCCAGTTTCCCTCCCTTGTGCTGGGCATCTTCTTATAGCAGCAGTGAAAACGCTTGACTTGAGCTTTATTTGTGAAATCCTGCTTCTTCCATGACTTAGATAACCAGCCATCCACCTTGTTCAGCAAAACACGTAACTGTGCACTAAATCCATGGAAGTGGCTGCTATTTTAGGTGCTCGCTGTTGCAAACGTGGCTTTGCAGAGGGACTGGTCTATTAGGGAATGCTAGCTCACAAGAAATCTAAGTTCATCGAGTCTTAAGTTCTTTTGGTACATTTAGGCTTTTAGCTACCTCTTGGTTTTGGATCTTACAAAGAGCTTTTGGCTGATCGCGTGGGACGTGGTTATATTTTTGTTGTCCCCTGCGCCGAGGGACTCAAACAGGGGGTGGAACCTGATCTGCGGCTGGAGGGTTTGCGGGGCTAAATCCAACTGCAAAATGCTAAACTGAGGATATTTTGGCAAGATTTTTGTGGCTGGTCCCATGCTGGAGATTTCCAGTTGGGCGTTGATCGCTTTGCGACTCCCATGTGATGCCTGCAGTGAAATGGTTGTTGCCTGCTCGGAGGAATCGGAGGATGTTTCTGTTGTTCTGTGCTGTCCTTGGGTAATGCTGATGCTTTGGGAGAGAAGAAACACAAATAAGGGGAAGTTTTCTATTTGGTTATTGTATTTTTTTCTCCCTAAAATGATTGCAGGGAGAAAAAAAAGGAAAATAAAACCCAAACCAAAAACCTTAACAAAGCCACCTAAGCAAAAAAAAACCCAAAAGGAAGTAAAACTGCTAAATAACAGACTTTTCAGGGGACTCTAAGCCAGATTATCCGGCAAAGTGGGTCATTTCCTGGTGCTAACCAGGGAAGGCACGGAGCAGCTGAGCCAGCACAGACCGATGTGGGGTTCACTGAGCCGCCCCGGCTGCCGGGAGCTCTGGGGTGCCTGCGGGTGGGGGTGCTGGAGGTGCGTGTTGTGGTTTTAAACTGTGATTCCCCTTCTCGTTCCTTGCGATAACCCTCCATCTGGGATCAGAGCAACCTTCCCGCCAGCCAAACCCCTGTAAGGATGAGAAGAAACAGCTTTACGCCGCGGGCCAGCGCGGACACGGTAAAGCGCCCACGACATTACAGCGTTGGGAGCAAACCTCTCGACCTGCTGGGGCCTTTCCCATCCCTGGAAGCTCGAGAAGGGGCTGACCGGCCACAGCTGGAGGTCGGTGTCCAGGTGGTACCTTCTCTGTGCTCCCCCTCCTCACCATCACCCGCGGCGGTCGGTGGTCCCCTCTGATACAGACTCTTCCCAGGGTCTTGAATGCCGTCTTTATTCCTGCATGAATATCATTCTGGATTAGATTCCCTTAAATAAAAGAAGAAAATAAAATCCCAGTACAACCTGTCCACACTCCTCCCTCCCCAAACCCAGAATTTGCCCCACTAAACCAGAATTGTGTTGCCAAAGGCTTTCCAAAATCAGGCTCCATGCAGGCGAGTTTCCATCAGTGCAGTAGGTGTTTGATAGGGTGGTTAATTCTGCATATTATCTTGCTTTCTGGCAAAAACCCAATTCAAAAGAGTTACAAATACCCTCTTTGTCCTCATATGATAGTGCTGGCAAGTGTTGCTCTAGCCCCAGAGCGACTGGGTAGGAAATCTTTATGTCTGTGATTTCTTCGGTGCCTGTGTCCCTGCAGATCCCGTCAGCAGCTCATTGAGCAGAGTTTGGGCTCTTTGGGTGCCCAGATTAAAGCAGCTTGGCTTTTGGTGCTTGGTGTTTTTTTAGGCTTAAAAGCACGTAGGTCCTCTTCCCTGTGAGATCCTCAGCCTCATGGGTTTCTTTTGATCATTTAAAATTGTTTCTCTGCTAAATTAGGAGTTTCTGTGTGCCTGGGAGGGCGCAGGCAGAGCAGGCTGCATGCTGCTGCCCATCCTGTGGGGCAGAAAGGAGGCACGTGGGGGACTCGGGGGAGGTCTTAGCTGGCTTCTTGTGCAGAGACAGCCGTCGTTACCAAAGCTGTTTGGAAATAAAATAATCACAGAACGGGTTGGGCTGGAAGGGACCTTAAAGCCCACCCAGTCCCACCCCCTGCCATGGGCAGGGACACCTTCCACTGGACCAGGTTGCTCCAAGCCTCATCCAGCCTGGCCTTGGACACTTCCAGGGATGGGGCATCCACAGCTTCTCTGGGCAACCTGTCCCAGTGCCTCCCCACCCTCTGCGGGAAGAATTCCTTCCTGATGTCCCGTAGTAATCTTGGGTACTTTGGAGGTTAATGTTTTCCAAGCTCTTCAGTGAGCCCAGCTTCTTGTTCTCCTCCTTCCCGCTGGCAGAGTAAGTGGCCAGAGTAAAGCAAGAGGTGATGCCAGCACAGGTGAACATTGCTGCTGTTTTCTTACTCAGTGAAGAGCACGAGGCTTAGACATCCCAGAATCCCCGGGCTCTGGTGGGAAGTGAACCAGACAGTGCTTTGCGCTGGGTTGGGTTTGGCCCGCAGCAGTTTGGGATGAAGGGTCTCAGCTGGAGAGGACCCTGACTGGCCCAGGTTTAATCTGTGAGTGTCCCCAGGATGGGGATCCCCACTCTGCCTGCTCCCTGTCAGCAGTTGTACCCTTCCTAATCGTAATGTGGAAGCGCTGGCAGCTCCAAGATGAAGGAGCACTTGGAATCCCTGGGCTCGGGGCGGTGCAGGTGGTAGGGCATCGTGCTGTCCTGGCACCTCTCGCCTGAATGGAGCCCGTGCGATGGGCAGCAGTGGAGGAGGTGGCTGGGCGCTGTGACACGCAGTGTCCGTGCCTTGTGTCAGCTCCTGCCGTGATCCAAGCCTGCCCTGCGCTCCCTAACGTGAAATCCCTGGCATTGCTTCACTCCTTTCCTCATTGGCTTTGCTGCTTTTACTGTTTATCGGTCTCCTTTGAAAGCACTATGAGCTATCCTGTGCTGTTTCTTTTTCCTTTGCAGCCTCAAGGGGGAAATGCTTGCCTGTGAGTACCGCTGAGAGCAGCTTGTATGTACTCTCTCTCGGCTTAGTAAGTAGGACGTCTCTTGATTAACATTGCATGGAAACTGCTTTGGGAAAAGCCAAACGTGTGGAGCAGTAGGAAGTCTTTTGCTCTATAATAACCTGTCCTTAAGGGGGACCTTGGTGGGGGAGGAACATGTTACCAGACTGAGCCCATTGATCTATAGGGGCAGCAGCTCGTCTTGGAGCTGGCTGCAGAAGCGCATTTCACCCCGAGCTTGCTCTGTCCCTGGACTGGGATGTGGGATGGCTCCGCACTGGTGCTGCCAGGCTGAGCCACGTAGCTTGTACTGAGCAGGTCCCGCTTCCATCTCCTCTCCGCCTGGGGTGGATGTTATTTATTGCAGGGATTTTGCAGGAGTTGTTGGATCACAGCCTGGATGGGAGCAGTGCTGCTCAGCCCCAGCACCCTGTGACTGGGTGGAGCTGGGGGAGTTAGCGCGTGCTTGGAAAGCAGCTGGGTGGGTAAACCTTTCTGTGTGGCGGCAGTTGTCACAGAGTTCTCCCTGTTACAGCCCCTTGGAGGCATCTTTGAATGGAGGCAGAGTGCAGGATTGTGTTTTTCCCACCCGAGGGGAGAACACGTCCTTCTCTATCCCCCCTCTCCAGGGAGCCATCAGCTAGCATCACCTGCGAGACCTTGGCTTCCCTCTCCGCCTCTGAGTAAGGGGCTTGAGTGAAACTGTGGCTGCCACGCCACGCAGAAAGGCCCAAGATGCCCTCACTTTGCTGTCCTCCCACCGTCCCTGTGGCCTGTCCCCACACCCCTGTTCTGCTGGTGGCTGTGGCAGACCCTGCTGCAACCCCTCACTTGGCTTGTCAGGTGTTTTGCCTTCTGTGGTCCGTGCAGCGCTCGTGGTTTTGTCTTGTAAAAGCTTTTTTGCAGATTAGGTGCAGCATCTGGGCACCTGGATGCATGGCACAGCTGGTCCCTGCGCGGGGCGGCTCCTGGAAGGCACATGGCTCCTGCAGCACCCATGCTGCATCCTCGTCCCCGTGCACCGGGGTGACCCCCAGCATCCGTCTGCTTCCACCCATCTTTGGGAGGGTGTTGGTGACAAGGGGTGGGCTCAGAGATGGTATAAGCTGTGTTCTTGGGGGCTTCGGGTCGCTGCACATGGGCTGCTGGGGTTGTGGGTGACCTGCGATTGCTCTCAGCAAAGCTCTGCTCCTTCCTTGCCTCTGCCCTGGGGCTTTGGGAAAATCCTCTCGCTCCTGGTGCTCTGGCATCAAAAGGGAGAGCTGGATTTAGTGCAAAGAAAGCCAAGTTGTAGCTGGTCTGGTTTCCAGGTGTTGGGTGTTAAGAGGTGATTCAGGTCTGGGTGCAACAGGGTGGTCCCTGTGGTGATGGGGCACAGGTCTCGCTGCCGTGGCTCACCTCTTCCTGGCAAGGAAGGTGCAGCTCCTACGTCTGCCCGGATAGTATTCCTCTGGGCCTGAGAAACTCCTGCTTGAATGTATTTAGCAAACTGGATGGGCAGCTTTTTACTTAATTGCACTTTCTCCGTGAAATATGGAAGCCCTTCCAACATTTTTCTCAATGAAACTGCTCTGTCTTTCTCCATTGCTGGTATTTACATGTCATGGGACACAAAGGTGTGGGATTGATCCTACAGTTACATGCCTGTCTGCTGTTCTCTTAACGTGTGACAGCAGTTTTACTAACGCTGCAGTGTTCTTGCTGCTTGCCCTGACAAAGCTGCGGAAGCATGCAGAGCATCAGGCTCAGCTCTGGCGTCTCTCCCACTCGGGATGGCTGACTTGGGAAGGGTCAACCAGTAACGATGCAGAAAGGGCCTGTTTCTCCTAAATGTGCCTGTGTCCCTGCGTTTCAGAGTCCTTAATGTTGAAGCTGAGAGGAAAAGGGAAAAGAACCCAAGCTTGGGATAAATCTGATAAATCGTTGTTCCTATACTGAGTAATATAAATTTAGAATCAAATCAGACAAAAATTATCCACAAGCTAAAAATCAAAGCCTTGCCCCTTTGGATTTGCCTTTGCTCTGAACCAAAAGGAGCTGTGTGTTTAGAAAATGAATGTATGTGCCAGCTTTGCAAAACTCCTTTACGAACGCTGCGCTCCAAGTGTTCCTTTTCCCCCTGTGTAACACACTTCCTAGGAGGGTTTGCAGATTAATGACTGTAATTGGATTCCAGTGCAGACCTTCTTCCTTCTTAATGCTGGTGTTTTCATAGAATCATAGAA